AAAAAAAAAAAAAGTTTCTTCTGATTCCTTCATGTCTGATGTCCCCCAAATTGATTTTCCATGTACACCAAACCGAAAACTCATCGACACGAGGGGTGCGTCTTCAAGATTTAGGTGTTCGAACAAATTTAAATATCATACGAAGGACCAATTCACGAAGGAGAAAGCCAGACAATGGACCGTGTCCTCATTTGCAGCAAAAACTTTCCACACAATGGCTTGCTCGTACGATATGTGCCGACCCATTGTCGACATGCAGATGCCACCGGGCAAGTGCGCAAATCCCTGTAAACGCCAATTAAACCAAAAACTTTAGTTGATTATAGCAAAAATATATTTTAGGTGAATTCTCAGAAAATATACAACCTAAATTAGCAATTGTGAATAAAACAATCTTGAATATTACAGCAATAATTAACCCAATGTACCTTTTTGGAATTCAAAAAATCACTCAAAATTTTTGTATTATATATTGAGCAATTAAACAAAAATGGTCAATATTTCAAAATTGCATCCATTGTAATAAACGATTTCAATAATTAAAAAAAAAAAATGAGGATTGACGAGAGTACCTGCTGCATGATCTTGGCAAATTCCGAAAACAAAACTTTACGTCCAGAATCATCAAATATCTTGTCCAGAGTGAGATCTTGCAAGGCAACAAGTGTAGTCTCCAGCATATCTAGCCCGGCCTGGTTAGCAAATATAAATACAGGCACGGCCTGGTAAAACCAAAAATTGTAAGAGCCGGTTATAATCATGCAAACACCTTTCTATATAGATACAACAAGAGTTTATAACTAAAACAAAAAAAAATTACAAAAATAACAAGTAACGTGAGAAACAACGGAAAACAACTCGGAAGCAGTACCTTCAGTGAGCAGCATAAGATGGCATCTTGATGATGCCAAAGTGATTTCAATACTCCTTCACCACTCGTAGACTCGGCTCCTCCTAGCAGCTCAGCCCCAAAATGGTAGCTTCAAGGAAACAAATTGTTAGCTTGAAAAATTGATGGCAAAATCAAACCGCTCTAAAAATCTGATCGGAAGTGAAATATTTTGGGATTTTGAAATTACAGATATCCCCTCTAAAAAATCCCTTTTTCAAGATAAAATATAAATAGAACAAGATCACTTCTTCCTATTCTTTTGTCTTTGTAACTTTTATTCATATATATAGATACACATTTTATTTTATTTATTTAAGTAATGCATCTAACCCTGAAGTAGGTAGTTATAAATGTAGATTTATCCAATAAAGTAATACCTATAGCTATGGCAAATCCAATGTGCGAGTGTTAGTGCTTCTGGGGAAGACGGAGATAGTTTAGGGACGGCAGCGGGGTCCAACCCAACCGAAGGAGATATAGCAATGGCAACCCTCTGTACAGACGAAATCACGCTGCGTACATACTGGCGGGCCATGGAGGCCACATTGTCCAGCAAATTGGTCTCGTACGGGAATTGGAAGGCAATGGTAAGTATTGCACGCGGGCTGCAAGCTGATGATGCTGCTGCATTGTTTTTTCCGCTACTGCTCATTGTGGGGCCCACTTCAAGGCTTGATGCCAAGTCTAGTGTTTTGTGTGAACACAATGGATCCTGCACCTCACCCTGTCAATACCCAACAATGATGACTTGATTATTATTAGAATTTGTCCAATTTAACTAAACCCCGTGAACATCATAGCGTGCATTAGTGAGAATTTGTCAAATAACACGACTTCTGTGTATTACAGTAATTGAAGCTAAATTTTAACACTATATTTAGCACTTTTTTCACAAATTTCTGAGTAATGCAGGTGCAATTTATAAATTGAAATAAATCTGAAGTGGGTATTTTTAGTGATCAAACATTCGAAAAGTTTGTTATGTGTCAAATTAATAAAGGTAAGAATGACAGAGAATATGATAAATTATGTATCGAAGCAAACCAACTCAACTGGTTTTGATTCAAGCGGGATAATACGAAAACCGGAAGGCAGCAAATGGGCATCGTCCGGGAACATTTCGTCAATTGGGGCAAAAACAAGCTCAGAGCATGCCCCCTCTGCATTCTCATCAATCCCTCTGCACATCTGTAAAGACACAGGATCGAGTCACAAGGTCAGCATATTTAAAAAGAAAAAGAAAAAAAAAAGATTCAAGAGTTTTTATGGAGCTATCACAATTCACAAGTAAAAAAATGCTGCACCTGCAGAAGATGGATGTCTCGAGACATGAATGCATCCTCGTGGCCGAGAGAGTGTCCTTCCAACCGAATAACTTCAAGCATCTGTAAGTGCAAGGCATTTTCAAATTATAAAATTTAAAAAATCGAACTATCAATTTTAATATTATCAACCGGGTTGGGTTAATCACCAAAGATACCATTGTAGGTCAAACCTTAATACCTTATTAATAGATAGATTATTATTACATACTCCAATAAAAGAGCAAGACAAACCTCTTCATGTTCAATCGTGTGACCCAACGGCATGATAATTTGGCTACCCGTAAATCGAGTAGGCCTCATTCCTTGATAGGTATACGAGTTCTTCAAAGATGCAGCCGAATAGGCATCCACATTGAAGTCTGCCCATTCCGAGCGGTGCTCCCTCAAAAACCGAACAAGCACTGCCGCAGGCACATTCTGCCCCACAAATACCAAAAATCAGGACATGTTACTAAAACCGAGCAAGTTGAGCTATTCCCAATAACCCCAAATTTCTTCTGAGGATGAAGGAGAAAAGATTTCCTATTAGATAACAGAGAGATCACTACCTGAAGCAGCATAGATGCTTTAGCACAGAGCACGCCTCCAATCATGGAAATATTATTTGAAGCACCCGTCACATTCTTAGCCGAACTAACAGCAACTATTACATCATCCCCACCATCATCACAGTTCAGCAAAGACCACCCGTCGTCATTGAACCCGTTAATAGCGTCGTTAAAGCCTCTGCATGAGTAGAACATAATTATTAATAAAAAAATGAGAAAAGATAATGAAAAATGCTTTAAGGAACCATGTTATCAAAGTTTACCTGCTCAACCTGTGGCTGAAAGTTCTTAGGACCGCAGGTTGCCTGCCGAGACTGTATACGACTTCGCCACTTGTCTCCTGGGCGATCTGTCGTATGTATCTAAGTGCCTGATGAAATAAAACATTAAATAGTCATTAGATTGTCATGGAAAAACTAAATCAACCAAGAGCCAATTACAAGATACTCAACAAGATTTAGCTTAATTGATCACAATTAACAAAAAATCTCACAGCCGGAGCTATTTATTTTCTTAAGAAAAAAAAATCACAATCATTGCAACTCATTGAACATCCAAATTTTGGTGCAAAACTCAGCAACCACTTGATACATGAATCATATGTACCACACTTACAGCAATAGTCATTTTCTGTGCCAAAACTTTCGACGATTCATATAGTGGCCTGAGCACCTCGGGTACACTCCATGCCTGCGCAAATTAAGGTGATCCACAAATGTTAAGAGTCCTGTTCAAGCGATGGAAGGAGGTTTACAGTGTCTAAGTTGAGGAAGGCGGGTTATAACCTCCAAATTAAGGTGATCCACAATGTGAATAATGGATCCTCCACCCTCACACGGCCTGATCAAATATCCGGACGGAAATACTTCGCCTCTCACAAACTGAGAAGCTGCAGCCGCACTTGGGCCCGCCCCCGTCCCGGAAAGCGATCTCTCACATACCTTAATTGAAAGAACCAAAAAAAAAAAAAAAAAAAAGAAAAGACATTGAGAAAATTATCAAAATTCCACATTTATGAAAAAATAAAACATAAAAAATAGAACTTCTATATAATCATTCAATGCTTAAGGCGCTTATTAACATATTAATCTAATTGGACTTATATGCTTGAAAAGCAAGCAATACTTAATGAAAACAGCAAGTGAGCAGTGATTAAAGGTTTAGGAAAGAGTGTTCAACAGGGAAATTGTTATAAAGAATCTTTGTTCTGATTTAAAAGGTACAACTAAAACAGAATCAAAAGTGGGAATTAAGATCAGCATTTAACTGAAATATAATGAAGTGGAAATCGACATTTGACAAAACTAATATTTGATTACTTTTATTGACATGTCCAGATTTCCTTATTTTATAACATCGCAAACACTGCTTTCGTAAATGAAAACTGGCCAAGAAAGGTCTCCAGACTACATATTAAGATGAGACAAAGATAACTATACCACAAGACTGCCGTTCTCCAAGGTAGTTGTGTATCTAAGAGTCCAAAAGTCTCGGGCGGGAGCCAACGTGGTTGCAGCATACGCCTGAAAGAAACTACCGGTTATTTACTTCTCCAAATTGCTTAAATGTTTTAAAAAATAATAATGGAAACAAAAAATCCTGCCAAATTCACCTGGGTATACAAAAGCTCGATAGTTCCTCCATTTCCGGCAGGAAACATGGTGAAAACCTCAAGGCTCCGGCAGTCACGGAACCAACATGGACGATCTTTAAGGATCTCAGCAATCTGTCAAAAAGATTAAAAGAAAATGTAAAACATTGCTGCTAACTGGAGTTAGGTGTCAAAAGACAAGAAAAAAATAGTGTCGGGAGTAAAGAAAAGTTATTCTCACCTTTGTAGGTTCTAAACTAACAAGACCGCAGGCTCGAGCGGCCACACCAGAACTACTATTTGAGATGGCAAAGATCCCAACCGAACCCGGACCAGGCTGAACACAATTAACAGAACTTCCTTCAGTTTTTGGGGTTTAAAAAACACGAGATTAGACCAAAAAAAAAAAAAAGCGAATTGCATTTTTTATGAGTTAGACCTTCATCCCAGGCATCTGGACCCAATCAACGGCAGTTCCTGTAGCCTTTGAAAGGAACTCCGCCAAAGTTTCTTCTGCAATCGAAAGAAGTCTGACAAAAGAAAATAGAACTTAAGTTGATGTGCTCGGAGAATTTCTTGATGTATGCAGGAATTCATAGGCAAAAGAAAAGTAGACGAATTCTTAAATTACCCAGCAGGGTTACTGGCATCTCTGAGGGAATGCTGAGGGGTCGTGACTGCCGACTCGCAACTTGCATCAGTGCCAGGTGCCTGTAGAAATGTCGGACAAATTTATAGCATTTTCAAATCCAACCAAAATTTTTATAACAAAAGGTAAAAAGAATCTCAAGTCATGAATAGATATATGTATAAGCTGCGATCAATAACTAGTCCTGTAAGAGTGTTGACACGTTGCAAGAAGAAAAAAAAAACAGACATTGCATAAAATACATAATTGCAAAAGATACAGATAATGAGCTTGCTACTATGTTTATTGCTTCAAGCAGCAATATATACAGAAGCAGATCATAATAGGGGTCAAAGTAATCAATCAGCAAACACGAATATGAATAGAAAAAAACGGGCGAAATTACATACAGTGTGTAATTGTTGCCGCATGAAGCCATTTTCGGAAACCAGTTGAGACACTTGCTTCTGAAGGCGATCATTTTCCTCCACCAACAGCTTGTTCATGGCAGTCAATTTTCGGTTCACGCTCTGCAGTCTGCTAGATTCTTTTCTCTGCTTCTCTCGACACCTACATTATTTAGTTCACAAATTAAATGAAGTTTTCTAGCCTACACGAAACAAAGAGGTTATAATTACACCATTAACCATTTGCATTGATCAAACCAAAACACAAGATAAGGAAATGAAATTTGAAGCACAAATATTCTAAATTATTAATCTCAAAGACCAATACCCTCAGGCTACCAAGAATTAAAGTAGTGACATTCAAATAAAATATATATATATATATATGTAAAAAATAAATAAAAAAAAAAAGATCAAATTTTGATTGTACAAATATACCTTCGGTTCTGAAACCAGACTTTGATCTGCTTGGGCTCGACGTTGGAAAGAATAGGGCACTCACGGATGAGCTGCTGGCGGCGCAGTGAGCTGGGCTTAGGGCACTCGGCGTACACCCTCTCCAGAGCCTCCACCTGCTCCGCCGTGTACCTCACATACTTTCCGGCGGCATCAAGATGTTTATTCAGACTCCCACTACTGTTCTCCCGCTGATGCTGTGCCACCATAGCCATTTCTTCTTCTCAACTCTAAAACGAACAAAAAAAAAAGAAGCAAGCTT